AATGGGCACAAGTTGATGGAGAGGAGGTATAGATTGGACATCCGCAAAAACTACTTCACAGTTAGGGCGGCTAGGAGCTGGAACCAACTTCCAAGGGAAGTGGTGCTGGCCCCTACCCTGGGGGTCTTTAAGAAGAGGCTGGATGCCTACCTGGCTGGACTCATTTGAGTCCCGTTTCTTGTTTTTGGGGTTTTGTTGTTCTCCCGCCCTGGCGGGGGGGTCGGGCTAGAAGATCTACTAGGTCCCTTCCAACCCTAAATCTATGAAACTATGAAACTATGAAACCTTGTTTTATATTTGAGTAAATACAGTATGTAACATTCTTTGTGGCTGGTTTCCATTGCAGTTTAAATTTAGTGCGATTGTTGGTTCCAGCTGCAGGAGTATACAGAACTTTGGAACCTACTCCAGTGGCATCCTGGCGCTGGGACCAACGATCAGCTGATTGTCAGTCCCAGCCTTGAGACTACATGGGAGTCTAGAACTGGCTCTGGTACAGTCCCAGGACTAGGAACAACAATCAGTTGATTGCCCATCATGGCCTTGGGACCACTCAGGTTCAGCTGGGCCACAAGCACACGGCTTTCAACTTGCCAGTGCAGGGGAAGCACAGGATCCCAGACTCGCCTCTGCACTGGCAAGTAGTAATGGTGCCTGTTGGATCCGACTCCTGGATCCCGCCCCCCCCCAAAAAATTACACATTCTATCATGCACATGGCATGGCAGAATGTGCAGTTTTTGAGATCATGGAGCAGATCCTATCCTGCCATTAAAATGAATGCATGCCAGGGGCCTTAGCAGGCCTCTAAGAGGCTACCATGTGCCTAACAAGCTTTGGACACTAAAGAAATAATGTTCTTGCCACTAGTCTCAAACATTTAAGAGCAAAGGCCAAACCCTGCAGACTGCCTGGGCGCTCTAATACTGTTAACAGTTTTATTCTTATATGTGTATATATTTTAGGGAGTACTTTATGTAGCTGAAAGCACCAACAAAGGAATCAGGCCTCAGGTTACACAACATACAAACAACTCTACAAAACATACAAGACAAAATTAGCTCCAACACTGAAGACGAGATAAGTGGAGAAGTATAAGAAATCCTGTTTTCACTAAAATGATCCAAGTAAGAAAGAAAAGCATGACAAAGATTAGTGGAATCTAAGGGTCTTGCTACACATTAATTTTAGGCAGCTCCTGGAGCTTTAACTCCTGGAGTGTCCACACATTAACATCTGAAACTAGTTTTAAGCAGTCTTTAGGCAGCTTAAAGTTATGCCACTGAAGCCAAGATTTCTCTCTGATCTGTTACCCAGCTTATATTACACTAATGTGTTACCACTGTAGGCTACATGTTAGTGTAAACACTCCACCCACCCCTCCTCCGCTGTCCCAGATTGGGCCCACTGACTTCACCTGCATCCCAAATTCCCGCTCCCTGCCCCCTCCCATGCTTACTTGTTGCTGCCACCTTTGGGGGGGGGGGGCGGGGAAGCAGGCAGAGAAGGGTTAACTCACCTG